CTTTGTTATCCCGAATGAAATCTCTGTACTTATATAATAAACAAATAACATCATGGTTGGTTCGCGAATACGATTTTTATTCACTCGTGAATTATTACAAGCTCACTCGTTCGCTGCGCTCACTCGTTTACTTGTAATAATCCACTCGTGAATAAAAATCGTACGCGCTCACCAACCATGAAGTACATACATACATACATATATACATACTCCATACATGACTTTATTTAAAACACGGAGCTCGAGAACCATCAGTACATAATTGTTTTTGTTTGTGGAAACACCACGTAAATTTATATATTAAATTATTATTATTATTATTATTATTATTTATTTATTTATTTAAATGTATTTATTTATTTTTTATTTATTTTTTGTGTTTCCACAAACAAAAACAATTATATTTTATCGCCATGCAAACATTCAAAGAACTTACATCAGTACATAATTATGATAATTAGCTATATACAAATGAAAACAATTAATATAAGTTAAGGAAGAAGACAAGATTGAAGGGAAGAAGGAAAGGAGAAGAGGTACTGTTCTACCTGGTTGCCGTGTGCGAGTCGGTAAGACTCGGGAAGAATATAGAGATTGCAGACTTCCTTTAAACGAGGATCGAGAGGGATGATGATAATCTAAGAGATTCAGGCAAGCTGTTCCAAAGTGATGCTCCACTATAACTGAAGGAGCGCTTAAGATAATCAGTATTGGGCTTAGGAATAAACAACTTGCTATTAGAATTTCTTAGTGAATATTGACAATTCCTGGATGAAAACAATTCTTGTAAGTACTGGGGAGATTGACCATTAAGAGTTTTAAACATAACAACAGCTTTTTGTTTATGACGTTAACCGACAAAGTGTTCCACTGCAGCTGATCTAGAATTAAGTTGACTAGATGAAATATCGTAAGTAGAGCGGGTAATAACACGAGCTGCTCTGTTTTGAAGTTTACTCCGAGCCCGTCCCATACTGGGACACAATAGGAGAAGTATGGTTCAATAAAACCTTTATATAAGCTTTAATTGCAGTATCTTGGTCAATCAGCCCGCGCACCCCAATACCAGAAGAGATCTTTTTAGTAATGACGTCAAAATGGTTTCTCCAAGTAATTTTTCATCCAGGGTTAGCCCTAGGGTTTTAGTGGAACTAAGCAGAGGCCCGATTATTGAACCCTGAGGAACTCCTCTGGATGTTGAAGTGGTACCAGAAAACTGACTGTTTATAAAACACTTTTGCCTACGATCAGTTAAATAGGACCTAAACCAAGATTGTGCCAAGTCATCCACACTACATGCTGTCAACTTTGAAAGTAAAATGTTATAGTCAATGGCCTTCTTCAAGTCAATGAAAACTACGCCGTTTAAAAGACCTCTATCGATGTTGACACACCAATTATTAGTTGCTTCTAGTAAAGAAGTGAGGGTGCTGTAATTAGACCTAAAGCCAGATTGATAAGGATTGATAAGCTGATTATCAGTTAAATATGTATAAAATTGGTCAAATAAAAACATAAGTAATCTCTATATCTGTCATACCAGCAATTTCAAAAGTATTAGAGAAACTAGTTTATGACCAACTTCTCAATTTTCTGCTGTTAAACATGGTTACAATCGCCCAGACAAAATGGAAACCTGATTTTAGAGTTATATATGAAAATACCCCTCTTTTAATTTTAATTTTCCGCTAATATATATTTTTGGTCGACGTTAATATCTTGTCAGCTCCATATTCTTATTTAATTAATAATTAACGTTATAACGCCTGGGTATCCCCATTTGTCGAGTAAAAATGAAAATGGGGGGGGGGGGGTCAAAGAAAAAT